ATTTTAATTCTCTGTCAGAAATTAAGCAGGTGTTGTAATGAGTCAAACATTCTAAATAATAATAATAATAAAGTGTTCAGTGTTTTTTATAAGTGTCTATATTATTTTAAAACATATTATTTTTGTTTATTTTATACGTCCATTGCTTCATTCTTGATATAAAATAAATAATAAAATAGAATAAATGTCAAAATTCTTGTTGTTTTTTTATTATTTAAAATGTTTAAAAGATGTTAATAAACATAAAAAAAAAAATTAAGTAATAAAATCAATGCAACGCTGATCACATGTCTAAAGAAACCATTCGAAAAATAAGTTAAATGTAAATTAATAACTTATTTAACATTCTGGGAACACATATGGAGGGCCAAATTACTCAAAATAAAATGAAAAGAAAAGAAAAGTAAATGACATCCACGAAAGAAAAAGAAAGAAAGAAAGAAAGAAAGAAACTTGGTGAATGGATGAATGAATGGATGTCATAGACTCGATGCTACTGAAAATCTCACACAGAATCTTCATAAGGAAGTTTGGAACATTTTAACTGTGTTTTCATAAGAAATAAACAACATATTCTAGACATTGTTATTAATTATTTTTATAGTGCCATCCAGTCCTGTAACCTGTGTTTTCACTGAAAACCATTAGATTTTCCAGCGGATCTCTACATCAGATGATATTGGCTCGTTTACATGAATGCAATGGTGTTCCCGCATGGTGACCAGCAGGCTTTGCATTTCAGGTCTTAGGGCAACATATCTAATCATACGTAGAGTGCTGAACGGTACAGTACAGCGTCTTGCCTCCTCAGCACATTGGCTCTGACTGGAGAGGGATATATGACCTGCGGCAATGAATGGATTGAGCCATCAGCTCATGTTGATCTCTGCTGGTTATAATTCCAAAATCCATTTACTGTAGCTATACAGCTTTATAGGCAGCACAGTAATCAGTGAATATTATTCAAAAATATTTAGATCTACTTTATAGAAAATATTAAATATAAATACTGTATTTTGAAAATATCCCAAAATCACCCTGGCCCTCAAGTGATACTCAGTGTCTGTGATCCTCGTTCTGATTGGTGGATTTCACTTCAGGATTGTGGGAAGTGTAGTACTAATGTACCTAAAATTCTGCTACTGGAAATTGAAATTTCCTTTTTGTCTGATGTCACCAAGGCTTCTTTGTCACAACTGAATCAATTAAATTCAATTTGACCAGATTCATCGCAAGTCCTTTCTCTCTCTCTCTCTCTCTCTCTCTCTCTCTCTCCGAATAACCAGTTTCACTTGCATTTGGATTACATTACAGAAGTAAATTAGGTTGTGAATTCAGTTTCTTGTAGACTTTAGCCTCACAGAAATCACTCTCAAATCAAGCAGCTTTTCATTGGAAAACGCATCAAATTTGCATGACCAACTTGAACATGAGATAAATCTGCATCGGGGAAATGTTTCGCCCTCAATTCAAACTCTTGGATTAGTAGTGAAAGCAAGAGTAAATGTAAATGCACCAGGACTCAAAGGACTAATTCACCAGGAAAGGAAAATTTGCTGAATATTTAGTTGGAGAAATGTAGCATTACACGACTTGCTCACTAATGGATCCTCTGAAGTGAATGGGTGCCGTCAGAATGAGACTTCAAACTCGTCATTTTAGCTGGAAGCAGTGGTTTGAAGTTAAAAATGTCTTAACAATGGATTTGTTTATTGCAAACATGCAGCTTTTTGCTTCACAAGACATTAACTGATGGATTGGTGTGGTGTGGATTATTGTGATATTTTTATCAGCTGTTTGGATTCTCATTCTGATGGCACCTATTCACTGCAGAGCATCCATTGCTGAGCAAGTGATGTAATTTCTCTAAATCTGATGAAGAAATAAAGTCATCCCCATTTTGGATGGCCTGACGGTGAGTCGATTTTCATTTTTGGATGAACTATTCCTTTAAGTCACACAGTCCCAGTCTTGACTGATTTCTCTGTTAGTTTGCGCTCTCTGGCTAGAGTAACCATATGAATTGAGTAAAGCACCCAGCATTTCTATCAGGCCGCCATGAACCAGAGTGAACTGGGCCAGTCAAGGTCACTGTCTGCCCCTGCAAATTACCTTGGGATAGTGGATATCTTCCCTCATTACTCAGACACAAGATCTGAAGGTAATAGCTCAGAAGAGACGGACTTAGGAGGGAGTGAATGAGATTTTAAGGGGCTTGTATTTCCTTCATCTCAGCTTAGAGACCAAACAGAAACCCAATCATTCCCCTTGAAACAAAGTTTGACTTTGAGAATTGAAGGACATTGCGGAAGACCCGACACAAAAACAAAAGGCCCCGTTCAAGTCAAAGAACCGCATGAAAAACTGATGAAGAACCCGATAGGCCGGCTATCTGGGTAACTGAGGATATATCAATGGTTTACTCTCCAAAATTGCTTGCGTCAGTGCAATGCCTTTAAAATTAACTGAAGGGCTGCTTTTTGCCTCAAATTCTGTTTTTAATCAGTGTAGATGGAGCAGTTAAACTATTCATATTAAAAGGATCTCAATAACTTTAGCTTGTCCTCTGCACCCTTGGCTTCATTACATATAGGTCAGTCAAGGACTGTCCGTCTACAACATGCAATCATTGTAGACTTGTGGAAGGAAGGTTTGAGTACTTGTATAACAAATGTATAATTTAGATTATTTAGTCGTTTCACATGTTGTTTGACATGATTAATATTATTATTATTTAAAATAGTTAAATAATGGCTTTAATAATTGATCTGGCCAGTATATTGGTCTATCACCAATTTAAAGTGAAACTGTGGAAACCGTTATTAGGATTTGGGTGAATAAGAAAAATGCATTGGCATGAAAATATAAGGTTGTCATATTCTGCGGTGTATGGAGTGAGGCTGGTTGACAAGGATGGAGGCCTGGCTGCTCTTCTATCACTGAAGGCTTTCATCCACACTCCCCATGAAATCAGTACAAAGAAGTCAATTAACACTTGCAGCCATGTTCCCTCCCTTCCCAGCTGAGGAAAGCCTTGGGATGAAAGCGTGGAGATTACGGGAGTCTCGTGTGACTCAGACTGAAGGATGGAAGGAGAATATTCATCAGCGTTTGCTGTGGCTGCTTTAGGAATTCGGTCTCTTGGAAATCACAAGACCAACTGACAGAAGGAACTGTAGATATTTGGGTTAGATACAAATCTGTTTGTTTAATTGCTTGCTGAAAACCGAGTAATGCCCTAGCAACCAGATAACAAACAACAACCACCCAGAACACCCTAACAGGTTTTGCCCAGAAAACCACCATTTCACTACTTTTCAAAAAGTCTTCATTCATATAGGACACCATTCAAACACAGTAACATTGGTTGTTTAAGAAATATAATTTCATGGATTCAGATTTGATTTCTGTTTTAAATCATCTATTTAATTATCAATTGAATCTTCTATTGCTCAATGTTATATACAAAAGTGAGCATGTCGGGGTCACCAAAAGTGAATATGCATCTTCTGATGTCTTTGTACATATGTGTTCTAGTTTGTTGACATTTCTGAGGACTGTTCTCCCTGTGCTGAATTTATTATCTTGTGTGTCGTCCCCTTGGGATGCGTGCAGAATGTTCTTTGCAGCTTTTTTTTAAATGTCATGTATGTTGAATATGTGACGGCTTTAATGTGCAGGTGCGCAGTGTTCTACATATGAATAAGTAAATAGCATATGAATAGAGAATAAAAATAGAATCTATTTGCCGACCTAACCTATATCACGTTATATATCAAAGTTATCAGTTTCACTTCATTCATTTGTTATATCTGTGAAGCTGGTTTTTGATGTTTTAATATGCATGTATGTTAAATGTATTTTCAAAAAATTATATTTTAGGAAACATTTATTTTTATTTTTTTTGTAAAAAAAAAAAAAGTTTAGCAGAATGTTCAAGCTACTCTTTTCCATACATTTAAAGTGAATGGGGATCACTGACAAAATGACAAAAGAGCACCATTTAATCATCATTAAAGTAGCTCATATGATTTTGGAATGTCAAATATTGTGAAATGTCAAAATTTCAAAATGTTCGGAATGTCTAATTAAATCAAAACAATCATGGGTTTTGGAAGAGGATATGACAGAATTTACATATTTGTGTGAACTATTCCTAACATGCAGTATTCTCTCCTGCCTTGACTGCGTAATAATAAGGTTTACATATTAATGAGATGCTTGTATACTAATGAAGCTCCATCAGCCTGTTTCAAGGGGTCAGGGGTCAAGCTTTGTTCGCTTGCTGCTAATTACAAAAATTGCATGCTTTGCAGGTGAAAATCTCTTTCTTTGAGTATTTATTAGGAACTAAAATGAGGTCTTCTGTAGCATAATACATTCTCAATGATTCCAGTGATGCATACTTCAAAAATACCATAAGTAGGCACTTTTTGACATTAGGGGGACCAGATATCCCAATAGTTCACTAAAAAGTGTTTGGCCGTTAGGCTCACTGACTTGAAATGAATTAGGATACGAACAGTGTGCATTGTATTGCTTAGTTTGCACATAATGATAAAAATTTGTCATTTAATAAATTAATTGAAAAAGAAATTCACTCATTTAGCTGCAATAGCACAACTATGAAAAAGGGACAAAAAGTTCCATGGTGTGAACTTGTCCAAACTATCACTTACAATTTTGCAGAATACATCAGATATTATGCACTCATTGAAAAAAATAAAATAAATAAATCAGGAATTCGTTGTAAAATTATGCAATTTTATTTATGCATGCACTATGCAAATGTATTTAATGAAACAACAACAACAACAAAAAAGGTTCAAACAGTCCTTAATATCCTAAATACTGTCTCTCTAATATATAGTTGGTTTGCTGAATATGATGACATTGTTGAGAACGAAAAACAAGGTCTTTGACAACACTTTCTTTCTGGAACATCTTTCACACAATGTATCTGCTTCTTAAATTATTAAATCAATCTTTTTCTTTTACAGCCGACCAGTGAGGACGATCTCTGCCCGATCTGCTATGCACACTCCATATCAGCCATCTTCAAGCCCTGCTCCCACAAATCCTGCAAGTGAGTTGCTGCCAACATCCTATCAACAGCTCTGTTCTTCCATTCACTCTTCCATTTAAGAGATTAACACCATGCCGTTAAAGGCTTCAATGACCATTACTTATATAGAGCATAAACACTGCCTGAAATACTAAGGACATGTTTCCACTGTTGCAATATAGTAATCAGTGCTGGGTGGATTATTTAAAAATTGCAGTCCATTACTGATTACAAATTGCATGATGGAAATTTTAGTTTGTAATGTAATCTATTAGATTACAAACATTGAGTCATTTATCCTGACTACTTTTGGATTACTTTTAGATTACATTTGGCATAACATGTAACATTACGTTTTGCCAGGGATTCACAAATTACTAATTAATTAAAAAATTCACAAAAACTTATTAATTAAATCATAAAAATGTCAAATTAAACTAATCAAAACTAATCAACCCACTTTAAAATATAAACAATCAAAATAATCATGAGAACAATAAAAATATCAATATTTTAATTAACAAACATCAGAGAACTAAAAAGATTGCGTGGGCACTCCATTTTCTGACTGGTGTGTGCACTTTCATAAATCTGTAAGACTTTCCAAATGTAAGCAGTAGATTTATTAAAATAAAGATGGATCATTTACTGCCATTGTGTGAAGAATATGTAATCATGTAATCCATAAAAAGTGTAATCTGATTATCTAATCTGAGCACTTTAAAATGTAATATAATCTAACTACAAGTACTAAAGCCAGCAGGCACAGGACGTCAACATAATATCATGTTGACATTGGACATGACATCGGACAGACATTGTATTTTGGTTGAGAATGAAAATCGGGTTGACGTCAGTATTTGACGTTGGATTTTGGTTACACAACCAGCTGACGTCGGTATAGACCAATTCAGAGTAGACGTCACAGTTACGTCACTTGCAGCTGCGCGCGCATAGTGGTTGCAGAAAAACACTGGGAACAAGTGGAGGTAAATGGGTAAAATCCATGGAATAAAAGAAAAATATATTTTTGTGCCTTTTGATGTCAAGATCGGAATGCAAATAATTTTTATAGAATACTGTCGTCAAAGACGCCATTTGAAGCTAAACACAGACGTTTAAATGGACATACTATGGATGAAAACTGCTATGATTACTCTGCTTTTAAAGCATACATTTGATTTAAACAATAGGTCTACATAATATTCACATATGCTGTTCATAATTCTGAATGTTTACAAACCTATAATTGGTCTATTGGACATCAAATTAACATTGACATTAGACGTTGTATTGACATTGAATTTTGGTCACCTGACGTCGCTACTGAAATTTAACCAAATATTAAAGTTTTATGACGTTGTGTGCCTGCTGGGTAACTTTTGGAATCTAAATACGTAATCCAAATTACATGTAACCAGTTACTACCCAGTACTGTCCAGTGGTAATGCTGTGGTCTCAGCACTGCATTGAAGTTGTCACAATACTATTTGTATACATCAAAACTGTGCTCTCAATAAAATCAATGTTCTTGGCAGTTTGTTTTTGAGTCGCTTGACGTATATCGTGAAGCACAGCACAGATAACTCACGCTTTGACATGACTCAGCACTCTTTAAGTGATTAAATGTCACTGACGGACAGATCTCTCGCTCCCTCACTCACTTTGTCTTTTATTTCAGGGCCTGTATCAATCAGCACTTAATGAATAACAAGGACTGCTTCTTCTGCAAGGCCACTATCACTGGAGTGGAGGATTACACCAAACCAGCCAGCTCTTAGTGCGCCCTTTATACACACACACACACACACACACACACACACACACCTTTTTGGTGTTCAAAAATCCACATTATGTACACTTTCCCCAAAGACTTCACTTCAAAAACACACATGTTCAGGTTGGACTCTTTGTTTCCACTTAGTCCATGTATGGTCACCATCCCGTCACTGTTGGTTCTGCCAGCATTGCCCATCTGCACTGGTGTATCATAACATGTTGTCCTCTGACGAATGGAACAAGGCCTTGCAAGGCAATAGCTCTTCCCAGGTGTCTTTGTGATGAATGGATGAGATCCTGTTTAGAGCCGTGTGCTCATGGTGCTTCTGAAGGAGCAGCTGAAAAGCTGAATGTGGAAGATCTGCTGAGAGTGATGGAGAGTGTTTCGCCACTGTCTCAATCGCTTCACATGTTGCCCTGGCTCTTTTTCTCATCTGATTTCTGATTTCATCTCCTCTCTGCTCATTTCTATTCTATCCTTTCATCTCATCTATTTTAGTCTTTTCTTTTCTCCATCTCATGTCTGCCTCTCTAATCTACTCTATTTTCCTGTCACCTTTTAGTCTCTGCCCATTTTGTCTCATCTCCTCGCTTTTGGGTTTGTTTTTTTCTCTCTTTTTCTCTTATTCTTCTATCACATTCTAGTCTCTCCTCATCTCTTCTTTTCTCTCATTAACATGTTTAGTCTCTGCTTTCCTTCTCATGTTTTCATCTCACCTCGTTCTTCTCTTCATGTCTCAATCTTGTCTCTTCTCGTATCATTCTTGTCTCTTATTTTCTTGTCTCTTCTATTATCTGCTCACCTAATTCTCACCTCATTCTCATCTCCTCTTCTCATTCTTGTCTCTTCTCTTTTTGTCTCATTCTCGTCTCATTCTTGTCTCTTCTTTTCTTGTCTCCTTCTTTTGTCTTCTTGTCTCATTATTGTCTCTTCTTGTCTCATACTTGTCTCTTCTATTATCTGCTCACCTAATTCTCACCTCATTCTCATCTCTTCTTCTCATTCTTGTCTCTTCTCTTTTTGTCTCATTCTTGTCTCTTCTTTTCTTGTCTCCTTTTGTCTTCTCTTCTTTTCTTGTCTCCTTGTGTCTTCTCGTCTCATTCTTGTCTCTTCTCTTCTCATACTTGTCTTCTCTTCTCATCTAATTCTCACCTCATTCTAGTCTCTTCTATTCTCATTCTTGTCTCTTCTCTTCTCTTCTCTTCTCTTCTCTTCTCTTCTCTTCTCTTCTCACAAACTGGTTATATTATCATATCAGGAAGTCAGAGTTAAACTCAGTACTAGTGAACAGTTTTTCACATCACACTCTCTGTATTTGCTAATGTTTTTATACTCGATAATGACAGCCATATTTGACATAGATAACAACATGTAGTGTATGTAATGTCTTTTTTTAATTTATAAAGCATCATACAAGATAAAAAAGACGGTTTCGGGACATGGACAGTTTACACGGAGACGTAAATGCATTGTGAGACAGTGATAACAATTCCTGTTTGAGAGAAATCCTTTGATTTCCCACCAACACTTGTTCGTTCTGCTCTCTGCTACATTTCTCCATTCGGACGGCTTTCACGTTTGATCTGTCGTTATAATGGTGTGGTGTTCGTGAATGTTCTCAAACAAGCCTCAGCTTTCTTCATACCCAGATCTTTCCTTCAGTCTGTTCCATTAGGAGTGCCTAGACTGCTGTTTTTGTTACAGAACACCAACAGACATCTAGATTTAAGTGCTTTGCTGTTGTGTGCATGGGGTTATCTTTCCCAGAATCCTTTGCTAATGGATTATGTTACACTCAGGCTCTGCCTGCACTCAAAATCCATTGCCTTGCCACAGCTCCCTTAAAAGGATATTCAGCCATTGTCCACTGCAATTTTCTACACCAAATAAAAGTCTAGTGGTGCGGTCCAGTTTTAAAACCCACAAAAAAATTAGATGGAGTGAGCCGAGACTGGAGGTGGACCGCAGCTTTGACTGTCACAATACAGTACGCAATTGTTAAAACAACTTGTACAGAATTCATCATACGCTTCTTACTAATGCACACAGACTGTTTATTTAACACGCAGACAATTTGCTACCACCGATAAACCACTGAACTTCCAAACACTATAAAACTGATAATAAGTATGAATTATCAAAACCAAAAGAGTATTTGGGTCACTACTTCTCTCATTTGGACTGTTAAAGCATTTCTCACAGTGTGGTGTAATGTTGTTTTTAAAAAGGGGGTGCATGATATGAATGTAGGACCCCTCTCTATAGTTTACTTAAAATGTGTGCACGCATTTGCGGTGAGCGTGTGCAGACGACTTTAATTTAAGGGTTTCCACTCTCAGGCATCTGCTATTGTTGTCAAAGGGAATTTTAGATTAGTTAAGCAATATTTAAAGGACTGTTGATGTTTTTTTTTTTTTAGAAAGAGAGAACATGGCAATTTTTGGTTCTTTCACTTTTGTGAGAGTGTACATGTATTGATGTATTATTAGCATTAAATTATTTATCCTAAATGCTGTCTTGTGTGCTTACTTTGTAGGCACTTTTCAATGTATATATTGGCTTACTAACGTATTTAATTATTAAGCATATATTTAAATATATCCCACATTCATTCAACCCTGTTACTGGATGATTTCCTCTCTGTTTAAAAAAAAAGTATTTCCACATCATGGTGAAAGGTAAGTATAATATACTTTTGTTTTCTCAATTTGTACGTGTTCTAGATAAAAAAAGAAAAGAAAATAGGAGAATAAAAAATGTCACTCATAAATTGCTAGTAAGCTTTACAAGCTATTATAAAGAAATGGTACTTTATATTTAGTGTAAAATGTTTGAAATAGTAAAAACTGAAATAGTATTTCCTGGTAAAAATGTACTCCAATAACCTGTTTTATTTACAACTTTGAAAAATCATTTTTACAGTGTAGTTGACTTCATTCATAGAGCTCAACCATTCAACCCTGTTACCAATGCTATTGTAAGAAAAAATGGTTAAACATTAACATTTTTTTCTTTAATTTATGGGTTTTGTTCACCTTAAATAATTAACAATTAGCAGTTTAATTAAAATCTGCAACTGTGTTTCTTACAACCCTGTTACTCATTTGGGCATATTTTTATTTAAATGCACCATTTAACTTTGGATTTCATTCATTTTGCAATGAATATTTATATATTAAGTTAATATTTTGTTAATATCCATTTTTATACTATTTATGTCCAAAATATCGGCAGCAGGGTTGAAAAATTGCCAGACTTTTTATAAAATCAGTTTTATATTAAAATTTAAAAAGTGTCTTTTGTATTTAAATGCACCATGTAACCCTGAATGTCATTAATATTTGATACAATACGTATCGATACGTATCAGGTATGTCCAAAATATGGGTTGAAAAACAGGGTTTAAAAATAGCCAAACTATTATAAAATCAATGTTATGTTACGAATTTATAAAGATAGAATGAAAAAATAAACATCAGTTTGGGTTCATATAATATTTAGTTTGACCTCTTGAGATTGACAAACAACATTGTTTCATTTATACATTGTTGATAAAAGCAGAAATGTCATTTTTTTAAGAACTTTAAGGCATATTTTGTGTTTAAATGCGCCATTTAACCCTTAAACCTGAATTTCATTCATATTTAATCCAGTATTTATACCAGTTAAAGTTGACTGCTAGAAAATAAAACCAAGCCAAGCAAGCTTACTATTCTATAACTATAAACTATAACTGGGTAACGGGGGGGAAAGTTTGCAAGGTTTTATAAAATCTATTTTATATGAAACATTTACGGTATAAGTATAGCATGAAAATGAAAATGACTTTGGGATATATATAATTTAATGTAATATTTTGTTTGACTTTCTAAGACTGACGATCTTACTGTAAACAATGTATAAATTAATTTTGTTTAATTTATACATTGTTTATAAAAAGCAAAAATGCACATTTTTAGTTTTAAGACATATTTTGTATTTAAATGAACAATTTAACTCTGAATTTCATTATTATTTTATCCGATATTTATATTAATTGAAGTTGTTTGCTAGAAAATAAAACAAAGCCAATCAAGGTTTTATACTATTCAAATATGCATCCAAAATATGGGTAACAGGGTTGACAAATTGCAAAACACTTATACAAATCTATTTTTGTATTTAAATGCACCATTTAACCTTTAATCCAAAATTATATTATTTTATCTGATATTTATATTAATCAAGTTGATTGCTAGAAAATAAAACAGTCAGTCAAGGTTTTATACTATTCAAATATGTACAAAATATGGGTAACAGGGTTGAAAAATGGTCAAACACTTAGAAAAAAATCAAATTTATGTTACAAATGTATAATTATAGAATGAAAATAAAACTCAGTTTGGGTTAATATATGATTATAATATTTCGTTTGACCTCCTGAGATTAACAAACAACATTGTTTCAGTTATACATTGTACAGAAACTTCAAAGAATTTCAAGCCCTATTTTGTACCCTATTTGTCTCTACAACATCTTTCTGCCATTATCAGAGAGTTGTTAACAGAATTTGGTGTGTGTGATTGTGTGGCGATTTATTTGTAGTACTTTCTTTCATTAGCGTATGTTCGTCTCAAACATTACAGAGATCTAGCATCGCTGGTTCAGACAGTACTACATTTAATTTTAATGACAGCAACCTTGGCAATGCACAGTAGCTGCTGGCCAAAACATTCCTGCTGTCTGTTCCAAAACAGGTTTTGCCAATTCAATGCTGTAAATAAGAGATGGTGTTTGTATCCCAAGGAGGGCGCTGCACTCTTTTGAACTAGACTTTCTTTCTGACCCAGCTCCCAGCATCCTTCAATTCAATTCTCTCTCTCTGGCATAAAGTTGGTACAACATTGTATAAGAAATGTCAGCGCCAGGCAGCTTTGAAATTATCGTCCTACCTTGGACTCATTGAGCTGTGTTTGCTAATGTTTTTGCTGTGAAAGAGTCTTTGGTTATAGTGGGTGCACAGTAATGAAGGATCGATTGTAAAAGCCTCCTGTTATGTTGGCTTCACTGGGCCGTGTCGCCTTTGCCCCAGAGGTCTTGAATTTAAAAAACGGTGATTTAGCAGCTTACTTGCGTACACCTTGTAATAAGATTTGTAAAAGATAAGACCAATAAGCCGAATTAAAGGTTGGTAAGAGTGTTTTCCTCTTTTTAAAGCAAAAAAAAGTTCTACGGTATGTTCTATATTTAAATAGATGGAAGATTTAATAACAATGTATTGAGAGCATCTAGAGCCCATACAAATTAATAACATAAATGTGTGTTACTTATTGTAAATTGTCAGTATTTCATGTACTGTCAGCTTTAGAGTCATACAATAACGTAGGTTTTATGAATTCACATTGAAATGATACCAAAGCATGTCAAGTGTAAGCATTTTACATACAATATGAACACATTTTACTGCTTTAATTTTGATTGCATGTTTTAGTGTTGCGTCTAAAATCTTAACATTCATTTAGACGTACAATACTGATTTTGTAGTTAAAATTTCAGCATTTGTTACTTTTACAGTATTGTATGCTGTAGTGTGCAGTGCCACATTTTAATTGTATTTTTTTAACTGTACAATTTATGGTAATAAATAGTGTTTCCATGTTAACATATTATGTTCAAACAACTTTTGAAACATGCAATATGTTGATAGTGTAAGTTTTCATGTCAGCATATAAAACCTCAATGCTTAATGTACTGTATGAACAATTTTAG